TCATTTCCAGAAAATTTGAACCTTTATGCATTAGGTTAGCATATGTGTTCAGTGCATGTGATTTAGGGCTGTAACAGTACAAAAAAAAAATGCAGCATATTCTTTGTACTGCAGTTCATGTTGTAAAAGAGAATAGATTTTAAGTGCTTTCACTTTTGAATGCAAAATGCATTTTAGTCAGAACTATTGTGCTGTTTGTCACTTTTATTCAATGAAGTTTGTGAAATTTAACAGAACCTTGCATGTTGTTACGACAGGCCTTTATGCACAAAGGAAACACATGTGAATTTCTATTTTCGAATTTTCGTTATGAATACATGTACCATTAAACCCCTATTACGAAGTAAATTTCATCATCAGCATAGTACACATGTACTTGTTTTTCTCTCATCAATTTATATTCAAGAAGTACAACAAACTACTAGACAGGGCACATGCTATCGGAAACTTCCTACTTCCCACTTCTGAAGTTGTATTTATGAGTCGGTCGTGTTCAAGTGCTTTTTTGTTGGAAAGAACAGAAATCATGGTGGACATCTTATTCATTCTCGCCTGTTTCTTGAGGAAATGTTATTAAAGCCAAAAGGTATACATTAGAAGATATTTAGTCAACATCCAACAGATTTTGAAAAAAAATGTAGCATCCCATGGTAGCCATATAAACATTCACAGCACTATCTAGATCAGAGGTCCCCAACCACCGGGTCGCGACCCACTACCGGGCCGTGGAAGAATTGCTAGGGTCACAAGAACGTTCTAGGAAAAATGTGTATAGATGACACTGTTATTTATTTATGTTAACGATTGTTCTACTTATTCTGTATTTTCTTTGTATGCGATTGATATGGAGTAGCAATTAGACAATTTCATGTTAAATAAGTAAATGAAAGATTGCTCTGATCTGTCACATATCACGCACGTGATTCGCAGATTAATTTGCCAATTTACACGTACAAGCAATTTTAAACCACAAGAAGAAACGAAAGAGAGCTCAATTCGTTACTCACGCGCTGTTCTCGCACACAATCGAAGCGCGCACAAGCATAGAGACATGTTTCAGAAAGCGCGGAAATACCGAGCTGCGTACACATACACATAAAATCTGCCTGTCAAAAACCCATCACGGCATTGTCATTCTCTGTGCTTGAAATATTTTTTTTCTTGCTTATTTGAAAAAAATTGTCCGATCTGTGACCCCCCCCCCAAAAAAAAACAATATAATGCGTTGAACCACTATATAATGCTACTATAATACCTTAATATATATATCAACTATATTCCAACTAGGAAACTCGTATTTACGATAACTCCGATAGCACGTGAAGGCAGCATAAGATACACACACAACTGCAGTTTAAACATACAAATATATATTTTAATCAGTTCCTGGACAGAACAAACACTGCACAAGGATGAAATGTTCTTTTCTGCATGTGTTGATCAGGCATGTCATCAAATGGATGGAGTGTTTGCATCAAAAGTGAAGTGTACTTTGGGCTGTACTTGTAGTTAGCTTTTAAATTTGAGAAAAGGCTGTTCCCCAAGTTCTCAGGTTTTGCAAACAACTTGAGGTTTAGACTAGAATGAAGGAACTTTTGGTGTCCCCACCCCTCTTAGCGAGATTAGATTAAGACGTGTGAATGGTTAAACAACGATTACAAACCTCCATTAGCCAATCCAGCAGAATCGCTCTCATTTTGGGTTGGAGATTTGGATGTCTCTCCAGAACATGTGTATCTCGCAGGTAGAGTTTGTCTTTTCTGAGCAGGTTGTTCCACACGTCATCTTTGCTTGCCCAGCTATGTGAAATTACAATATTGAAAGTTAATGCATGTAATGTTCCAAAACACAACTGATTCACCTATTGTTATGATAGACCAAAAGCAACATATTGTCTGAATGAATAAAACTAAGTGGCTTGGGCTGAAGATCAATGCTGATGTTGACAAATCGCTAGAATGTTAACTTCTGCATGTAACACCATGCATATCACAGGACTGTCATTAAGGCTGTATTAAAGACTCTCGTCAGACAAGATATTCTACAGGCAAATATTTAGACATGTCAATCTAACATAGCTAAAAGTTCAAAAAGTCATAAATAACTCACCAGAGGGCCGGCAGAGGGGTAGAGCGTGTAGGGGTGATGAAAATGTTTTCTGAGGCGTACTGTGTGAATCCCACGCTGCCAACAGCAACCAGTTCCTCGACTTCATCAGGTGTGGGGATCCGCCTGCATGGGCTTGTGTAACCGGTGTCGGGATTCCAGCAGGCCTGTGCAGGAGGACAAGAGGAGAGAAGGGAAAAAAAAAAAGGGAAAAAGGGTAAGCGCTCTAACGGATATAAACAAATACACCAGCCCGCCCTCTGCAACTAGGACAGGCTTCAAAGGCATTTTGAAAAGGACCTTCCATGACACAAAAACAGCTTGCTATGTAAATTCAAGCCGTGATATTAACCCTAACCACTCACGATAAAAAGGTGGTTGATGATAACTTTGTTATGCAGGACTGTGACCAGCATAGACATTTAATAAACTTGACGCTGCTCTGTTTGTTGACAAAATGTTTTCAAATTAAAAATTTTCGACTGGTCTGACTCAGCAGTCTGTCAAAAATATATCAAAACAGGCAGATATTGTTTACAGGTACCAAACATGAATTCTAGTGTGACACTTCAGTTTTTAACAGTGAAAGATTGTAAGGTAAGATGCAAGTAGCTAAACATGTATTACTTGACAAGAGTTTTGTTCTTTTCTTCCTTATTCCCTTAAAGGGGTCATATGATGTGATTTCAAGTTTTCCTTTCTCTTTGGAGTGTTACAAGCTGATTGTG